GGGGGGGGAGTGGGGGGGCAAAACGTTCCAGTTCTCACGCGTGGAAGGCAAAAAGGACCTTTTCTGTTGGGAGATTAAGACTAAAAGCAGTGATCGCTCCGAATAATTCCAACGGGCATTTCAGGGATTCAAGGAAGGCTGCATCACTGCCGCTATTCTCGCCGCCCTTAGCATTTGCTCTGTGCCCATACATTTAAAATATCGGGTGGAAGGATGGGGGAAACGGTATGTTGAAGGAGCTGCATCTCATTAGTACAGTATTATTTCATCTGATTGGAGAAGAACGGTGCCTTCATTCGGAAGCGCATATAGTAGGATAGATAATTTACCGGCTGGTAAGTGCCAAGGCATTTTCTCTTCCACTTTCAGCTTTCTAACCGGGTCTCCTGCTTGGTGCTGGGGCACAGAACAGCCTACCCCGAGGCAGGCTGAGCGCTCCATCCTGGCTGCCTCCGAGCTGTCACTTCCCCTTAGATCTGCTGATCGCATGGGCATGTGCTTTAGCAAGATTAATCATCTCTAAACGCTTTAATCAGCTAAAATGACTAATATGTGGTATGTATCTATCTATGATAATTTACCAGCTGCAATAATGTTGTGGTTGTGTTCAGATGGGGAATGTTTTCCTTTAGATCAGGGTTGTTAACCATTTGCTGCTTTAAAGATATTGTGGGGGTGCCGGAAGGGAAGCGTTCTGGTAGGGACATCAGCAAACCTCACATTCCTCCCAACTTACCTACAGAATGCACGGAGCTGGCAGGGAGAGAGATGGAAGGGCTGGAATTTGGTAACTTTGAGAGTTTGCATGGATGAGAATCATAGAATGGCCTGGGTTGAAAAGGACCCCAATGATCATCCAGTTTCAACCCCCCTGCTATGTGCAGGGTCGCCAACCAGCAGACCAGGCTGCCCAGAGCCACATCCAGCTTGGCTTTGAATGCCTCTAAGGGATGGGGCATCCACAGCCTCCTCGGGCAATCTGAGAGCTGTAGTGAGACAGCAGAGAGTCCCACTGGGGAGATATCCCTGTATCCATGCGGGCGATGATGGCTATAAGCCTTGCAAACAAGTAGCAACGACGTGTGGTTGTGAACGATGGTGCTGTGGTGGAACACAGGCAGAGAGGCAACACGTCCTGCTGTGTGCTCGTGTTGCTGTAGGGTCTGCATGTGCTCTCCTGGTTATATAGGTGGCACCTCCTGGGGGGCGGAGGGAGGCTGATATCGCGTGATTAAACCTTCAACATCTCTTAGGTATAAATCAGGGCAAGGCTCGCGCATCTGACACCCTCAGAGCGTGTTGTGAACATCCAGCCAAGCACTGCTGAACTTTGCAGGAGTCTGACACAAGTCTGGCAGGTAGGGGCTCGGTGTATGGAGCGGGGCAGGACAGGGATACTGAAAATCTGCATTTTGTTTCCCATTGCAGTTTTGTAAACGTCAACAAATGATGAAACCTTCCTCGGCAGAGACGCTTCACAAAGGAAGGATGTGGTGGATAATTCTTCTAAGCACAATTGCTCTAGCATGGACTACACCCATCCCCTTAATAGAGGACTCGGAGGAACTGGATGAGCCTTGCTTCGATCCATGCTACTGTGAAGTGAAGGAGAGCCTTTTCCATATACATTGTGACAACAAGGGATTTATAAATATTAGTCAGATAACAGAGTCGTGGTCGAGACCTTTTAAACTTTATCTGCAGAGGAATTCCATGAGGAAATTGTACACCAACAGTTTTCTTCACTTAAACAACGCTGTGTCCATTAACCTCGGGAACAATGCACTGCAGGACATTCAGACGGGGGCTTTTAATGGGCTCCGAGTCCTGAAGAGGTTGTATTTGCACGAGAACAAATTGGACATTTTCAGAAACGACACTTTCCTGGGTTTGGAAAGTCTGGAATATCTGCAGGCAGATTACAATGTCATTAAGCGGATTGAAAGCGGGGCGTTTCGAAACCTAAGTAAATTGAGGGTCCTTATCCTAAATGACAATCTCATCCCCATGCTTCCCACCAACCTATTTAAGTCCGTGTCCTTAACCCACTTGGACTTGCGCGGGAACAGGTTGAAAGTGCTCTCGTACCGCGGGATGTTGGACCACATTGGCAGGAGCCTGATGGAGATTCAGCTGGAGGAGAACCCGTGGAACTGCACGTGTGAGATCGTGCAGCTGAAGAGCTGGCTGGAGCGCATCCCCTACACCGCCTTGGTAGGGGACATCACCTGCGAGACCCCCTTCCACTTCCACGGCAAGGACCTGCGGGAAATCAAGCGGAGCAAGCTGTGCCCCATGCTGTCCGACTCCGAGGTGGAAGCCAGCCTGGGCATCCCCCAGCTGTCCTCCAGCAAGGAGAACGCATGGCCTACCAAGCCCTCCTCCATGCTGTCCTCCTTCCATTTCACCGCTTCCTCGGTTGAGTACAAAACCTCCAACAAGCAGCCCAAGCCCACCAAGCAGCCCCGGGTGCCCCGGCCTCCTCCAACGCCCCGTGGGCTGTACCCTGGGCCCAACCAGCCGCCCGTGGCCGCCTACCAGACCCGGCCCCCCATCCCCATCATCTGCCCCACGGGCTGCTCCTGCAGCTTGCACATCAACGACCTGGGCCTGACAGTCAACTGCAAGGAGAGAGGCTTCCACAACATCTCTGAGCTCCTGCCCAGGCCCCTGAATGCCAAGAAGCTGTACCTGAGTGGGAATTTGATACAGAAAATCTACCGCTCCGATTTCTGGAATTTTTCCTCTTTGGATCTCTTACACCTGGGGAACAACCGCATTTCCTATGTGCAGGACGGGGCTTTTATCAACCTGCCCAATCTCAAGAGCCTCTACCTGAACGGCAACGACATCGAGCGGCTCACCCCGGGCATGTTCCGGGGCCTGCAGAGCTTGCATTACCTGTACTTCGAGTACAACCTGATCAGGGAAATCCAGCCGGCGGCCTTCAGCCTCATGCCCAACCTGAAGCTGCTCTTCCTCAACGACAACCTGCTGCGCACTCTGCCCACCGACGCCTTTGCCGGCACCTCGCTGGCCCGGCTCAACCTCCGCAACAACCACTTCTTGGCGCTGCCGGTGGCCGGGGTGCTGGAGCACCTGCATGCCATCGTGCAGATCGACCTGAAGCTCAACCCCTGGGACTGCACCTGCGAGCTGGTGCCTCTCAAGCAGTGGCTGGAGGCCCTCAGCTCAGTCAGCGTGGTGGGCGAGGTGCTGTGCGCCAGCCCCGAGCGCTTGGCCCGACGCGACCTCCGCGCCCTGGAGCTGGCCGCGCTCTGCCCCGCCGCCCTCCGCCCCGCCGCCGCCGCCGCCGCTTCGCCCCCC